CTTCCATGGGGAAGAACTCCCCAAGCTCCCATCAACTCTTCCCTCTTCCTCCTCCTCCCATCCCTGCCTCCCTTGTCCCAAGGCTCCCTGCAGCCCCTTCAGGCCCTGGAGCTGCTCTGAGGTCTCCCCTTGAGGACCCCTCTCCTCTCCAGGCTGCCCCAGCCCAGCCCTCAGCCAGAGCAGACCCGTTCCATCCCTGGCACCATTTCCAGGTCCCTGCTCCAGCAGCCTCATCTTTCCCCTCAGTCTCCCCTGGGGCAGGTTCAAGCCGTTCCCCTCCAGGCCCTTGTCCCAGGCTCTCCTCCCTCCCGGGGGATGCTCCCGCAGCCATTCCCTGCTGTTCTCCATTGGCAGCAGCCCCCTTGCTCTTCGCTCTCCTTCAGGGAGAAGCAGGGACAGGGGCAGGGGCTGGGGCTGCTCTTCCCCAGGGAGGCTGCTGGGGGGCAGAAGGGTGAGGGCTCGGTGGTGCCTCAAATCCTCCCTGGGGCTGCCGGTGCCTTCACCCCTGCGCTCACAGCACCCGTGGCTGGGGGCTTCTTGCCTGCCCGCTGCCCCCCAGCCCCTGCCCTGCCCCGGCATGGGGAGGCTGAGCCCCACGGAGCGGGGTGCTGGGGAGGAGGAAGCAGCAGCTCCTCTGAGGAGCCCTCCTGGCCCCTGCAGGTGGTGAACGCCGTGAACTGCAGCCTCTTCTCGGCCGTGCGGGAGGACTTCAACGCGCTGAAGCCTCACCTCTGGGACGCTGTGGACGAGGAGATCTGCCTGGCCGAGTGTGACATCTACAGGTAACGGGGCCCCCGCCGGCCCCCCCACACACCGCGGTGGGCTCCTGTCCTCCCCCCTAACCCACCGGCCAGCTGAGCAGCCCATGGAGGTGGCTCCAGGCTCCCCCCATCTCCTCCCTTCCCTGCTCGGGGCTGGCGCCAGGAGCAGGAGCCAACGTGGTGTTTCCTGTGGCAGCTACAACCCCGACCTGGACTCGGACCCCTTTGGCGAGGACGGCAGCCTCTGGTCCTTCAACTACTTCTTCTACAACAAGAGGCTGAAGAGGATCGTGTTCTTCACGTGCCGCTCCATCAGGTCAGGCCAGGCCGCGGCTCTGAAGTCAGCCCAGGAATGAATCCCCTCTTTGCGGGTCCTGGCCCTGCTGGTCCCAGGCTGGGTGCAGCGGAAACGTCCTAGAATGAGCTGGGTTGGACAAGACCTTTGGGACCATCGAGTCCTCAGGAGCTGCTGGACCTCATCCTGCTCTTTATTCATCCACTCACGGCATGGCTTGGGGTGGGAGGGAGCTTCAAGCTCCTCCAGCTCCAACCCCATCCCCTTCCCCTGGAGCAGGGTGCACCGAGCCCCTGTGTCCAAGCTGCCCTTGAGCACTGCCAGGGATGGAGCATCCCAAACCTCTCCCTTCAACCCCTGCCATGGGGAAGAACTCCCCAAGCTCCCATCAGCTCTTCCCTTTTCCTCCTCATCCCTTGTCCCAACCCCTCTCCAGGCTCCCTGCAGCCCCTTCATGCCCTGGAGCTGCTCTCAGCTCTCCTTTCCCCCTCCAGTGGGTACACGTACACGCGCTCGGAAGCTGGCAACGAGCTGGACATGGATCTTGGTGAAGGGGATGCGGAGGAGAGCAGGGACACGGGCGACGCCGAGAGCAGCAGCATCGAGGAGGAGAGGTGGGTGAGCTCCGTGGGTCAGACCCTGTGGGTGAGCTCCATGGCTGAGCTCCGTGGGTCAGACCCTGTGGGTGAGCTCCGTGGGTCAGACCCCGTGGGTGAGCTCCGTGGGTGAGCTCCATGGGTGAGCTCCATGGGTGAGCTCCGTGGGTCAGACCCCGTGGGTGAGCTCTGTGGGTCAGACCCTGTGGGTGAGCTCCATGGGTGAGCTCTGTGGGTCAGACCCCGTGGCTGAGCTCCGTGGGTGAGCTCCGTGGGTCAGACCCCGTGGCTGAGCTCTGTGGGTCAGACGCCTTGGCTGAGCTCCATGGGTCAGACCCCGTGGCTGAGCTCCGTGGGTGAGCTCCGTGGGTCAGACCCCGTGGGTGAGCTCCGTGGGTCAGACCCCGTGGCTGAGCTCCGTGGGTCAGACCCCGTGGGTGAGCTCCGTGGGTCAGACCCTGTGGGTGAGCTCCGTGGGTCAGACCCCGTGGGTGAGCTCCGTGGGTCAGACCCTGTGGGTGAGCTCTGTGGGTGAGCTCCGTGGGTCAGACCCCTTGGCTGAGCTCCGTGGGTCAGACCCCGTGGGTGAGCTCCGTGGGTCAGACCCTGTGGGTGAGCTCCGTGGGTCAGACCCCGTGGCTGAGCTCCGTGGGTCAGACCCCATGGCTGAGCTCCGTGGGTCAGACCCCATGGGTGAGCTCCGTGGGTCAGACCCTGTGGGTGAGCTCCGTGGGTCAGAACCTGTGGGTGAGCTCCGTGGGTCAGACCCCGTGGCTGAGCTCCGTGGGTCAGACCCCGTGGGTGAGCTCCGTGGGTCAGACCCTGTGGGTGAGCTCCGTGGGTCAGACCCTGTGGGTGAGCTCTGTGGGTGAGCTCCGTGGGTCAGACCCCGTGGCTGAGCTCCGTGGGTCAGACCCCGTGGGTGAGCTCCATGGGTGAGCTCCGTGGGTCAGACCCTGTGGGTGAGCTCTGTGGGTCAGACCCCGTGGGTGAGCTCCGTGGGTCAGACCCTGTGGGTGAGCTCTGTGGGTCAGACCCCGTGTGTGAGCTCCGTGGGTCAGACCCCGTGGGTGAGCTCCGTGGGTCAGACCCTGTGGGTGAGCTCCATGGGTGAGCTCCGTGGGTCAGACCCCATGGGTGAGCTCTGTGGGTCAGACCCCATGGGTGAGCTCTGTGGGTCAGACCCCATGGGTGAGCTCCGTGGGTCAGACCCCGCGGGTGAGCTCCGTGGGTCAGACCCCGCGGGTGAGCTCCGTGGGTCAGACCCCGCGGGTGAGCTCCGTGGGTCAGACCCCGCGGGTGAACTCCGTGGGTCAGACCCCATGGCTGAGCTCTGTGGGTCAGACCCCGTGGGTGAGCTCCGTGGGTCAGACCCCGTGTGTGAGCTCCGTGGGTCAGACCCTGTGGGTGAGCTCCGTGGGTCAGACCCTGTGGGTGAGCTCCGTGGGTCAGACCCTGTGGGTGAGCTCCGTGGGTCAGACCCCGTGGCTGAGCTCTGTGGGTCAGACCCCGTGGGTGAGCTCCGTGGGTCAGACCCCGTGGCTGAGCTCCGTGGGTCAGACCTGCCTGTACAGGGCTTGTGTTGGGGCGGCCCCCCAAGACCCCGCATCCCCGTCACCGGGTGCTCGGTTCCAGGTTGCAGGTGCTGTGCATGTGAGGCCCGGAGCAGCTCCGAGGCGCCGCAGCCGCGCTGGACCCCGTCCTCTGCCTGCCCCCCGGAGGAGCCAGCCCCACGCTGCCCCATGCCCTGCCCAGCCCCACGTACACTGGAGCCCCGGACACCCCCCGCCGTGGGGCGCCCCCCGAAGCTTTGCTGCACTTTACGCTCCTCTCCTCGCCTGCACTGAGCCGCGGAGTGCCCGCGGGGCTGGCGCCGGGCAGGATGGGGCCCACAGCACTTGGCCCGCACTGGTTTGACGCCGTCCGTCCATGGCAGCGGCTCCGGTGGCCGCGGTGGGACCCCCCCCCCCGCCGATGAACTCCACAAACTGTGCTTGGAGAAGCGTCCCGGGGCTGCCGGTGAGTCCCTGGTGCCGCAGCAGCACCCCCTGCCCCACCTCCCGTGGGGCCTGGGGGGGGGGGTTAAACCCAACCTGACTTTGGGTGACGGGGCCGGTGCCAGGTTTGGGTGGGGGTGAGCAGGGTGCTGGGTGCTGCTGCTCCCACCCTGCTTCGCTTCGGCGGCGGCTGCCCCATCCCTCCGTCCCCATCAGCCCGCTGTGGATGAGAGCAGAGGCTGGGGGGCAAATCCCCCCCCCCAATCTGTGTTTTGGCTGGGACAGGGCAGGGGGAGCTGAGCCGGGTTCACTTGAGCTCAGGTTCATGGAGCTGAGTTGGGTTTAATGGAGCTGAGCTGGGTTTACTTGAGCTCAGGTTCATGGAGCTGAGTTGGGTTTAATGGAGCTGAGCTGGGTTTAACTGAGCTGAATTGGGTTTAATGGAGCTGAGCTGGGTTTAATTGAGCTCAGGTTCATGGAGCTGAGTTGGGTTGGGTTGAGCTGAGTTGGGTTTAATGGAGCTGAGTTGGGTTGGGTTGAGCTGAGCTGGGTTTAATTGAGCTCAGGTTCATGGAGCTGAGTTGGGTTTAACGGAGCTGAGTTGGGTTGGGTTGGGTTGAGCTGAGCTGGGTTTAATTGAGCTCAGGTTCATGGAGCTGAGTTGGGTTTAATGGAGCTGAGTTGGGTTTAATGGAGCTGAGTTGGGTTTAACTGAGCTGAGTTGGGTTTAACGGAGCTGAGTTGGGTTTAATGGAGCTGAGCTGGGTTTAATGGAGCTGAGTTGGGTTTAATGGAGCTGAGTTGGGTTTAACTGAGCTGAGTTGGGTTTAATGGAGCTGAGTTGGGTTTAATGGAGCTGAGTTGGGTTTAATTGAGCTGAGTTGGGTTTAATGGAGCTGAGTTGGGTTTAATGGAGCTGAGTTGGGTTTAATGGAGCTGAGTTGGGTTTAATGGAGCTGAGTTGGGTTGGGTTGAGCTGAGCTGGGTTTAATTGAGCTCAGGTTCATGGAGCTGAGTTGGGTTTAATTGAGCTGAGTTGGGTTGGGTTGAGCTGAGCTGGGTTTAATTGAGCTCAGGTTCATGGAGCTGAGTTGGGTTTAATGGAGCTGAGTTGGGTTTAATTGAGCTGAGTTGGGTTTAATGGAGCTGAGTTGGGTTTAATGGAGCTGAGTTGGGTTTAATTGAGCTGAGTTGGGTTTAACTGAGCTGAGCTGGGTTTAACTGAGCTGAGTTGGGTTTAATTGAGCTGAGCTGGGTTTAATTGAGCTGAGTTGGGTTTAACTGAGCTGAGTTGGGTTTAATTGAGCTGAGTTGGGTTTAGCTGAGCTGAGTTGGGCCCCTTGAGTTGAACTGAGCCGAGTTGGGTTGAGCTGAGTTGGGTTGAGCTGAGTTGGGTTGAGCTGAGTTGGGTTGAGTTGAGTTGACCTGAGCCCAGCTGAGCTTGAGCTGAGTTGGGTTGGGTTGAGCTGGGTTGAAGCTGAGCTGAGCTGGGTTGAAGCTGAGCACGCACAAAGAGGGGCAGCAGCTGCCTCAGCATTCTCCCTGCACCCTCTGCCCCCCAAGGGGAGCTGCTTTGGGGCAGCACCAGCCCCACGGGCCCTCACCACCCCCCCAACCCCCCTGGGGCAGCCTCCACAGCCCCTGCCCCATGGCTGAGGGTTCGGGCAGGGTCTCTCTTTCAGAAGAGGCTCTTCGGGGGCACTGGGGAGCCCCAAGGACGCTGGGGTTTTGTTCCCCCCGTCCCTGGGCTTGATGCAGGGTGAGAGGCTCCAGGGGATGCTGCAGGCACGGATCCAGCCTCCGGCCGGGGCTTTGGGTGCAGGGGGAAGAGGGAGACCCCAGGCAGACAGAGACAGACCCCAGAGCCCCCACTCCATCCCTGGGTACTGGGAGCTCCATCGGGGGGCTCCGCAGCCTCATCCCCACTGACCCAGAGCTTGGTCTGAACCTGGAGCTTGTGCCCTCTGCTCCTGGGGCTGGAGCCGCTGCTGCCCTCACTGGGGATTGCCTTCAGCACCCCCCCCCCCCCCAGCACCCATGGGTGCTCCCGGCAGGATTCAGCTCCATCCCATCCCTGCATCCCTGCTCGCGCCGCCGTGGCTGCCTCCCTGCGCCCCGCCGGGGAGGGGACCGCGCGGCGCCGCAACGCACCGGCACCAATAAAGGTTTCCTTGTGACCCCCCCCGGCCTTGGGCAGTGGCGTGGGGGGGGCACGAGGTGGGGCTCAGGCAGAGCCCATCCATTGGGATTTGGAACCACCTCATCCGGGGCCTTCACGGGGTCATTCCCGCCCCATGGCCCCTCCAGTTACGGCTTCACCTTCCCGTTTATGGCTCTATCGTCTCTGGAATGGGATTTCATTGTGGAATCCCAGCCTGGTTTGGGGTGAAGGGAGCTTAAAGCTGCTCCAGCTCCAACCACGGGCAGGGCAGGGACCCCTTCCCCTGGAGCAGGGTGCTCCGAGCCCCTGGGTCCAAGCTGGCAGCCACAGCTTCTCTGGGTGGAAGAGCTTCTGGCTCCCAGCCCTTCCCTGCTCCAGCAGCTCGGTGCCAAGCACAGACGCAGGGTGCTTGATCCCACTGCCCTGGCACCCACAGAGAGCCTGAGCATCCTCCTGTTGGAGTCCTCCTTGTAGTCACCGTTAAGTAACTCTCTGCTTGTCGACGTGGGTGAAGGTCACGCATCCAACCCCGTCCTGCGCGTGACTTTCCTCAACGGTGCCATGATTCCATCACTGGGGAATGGTGGAATCGTTCCCAGACCGCTCCTCGGAGGTTTCCTCTCCATGTACGTTTGGGATTCTTTGGAAGCGGTTCACAGCTGTCTGCTTAAAATGGTCCTGTACTTCATCACAGTGCTGAGGAGGAGGCTGAGCAGCAGCTGAGGCCGGGACAGCCTTGGGCACTCGTGCCCATCCTGGCAGCGATGTCAGTGCCAGATCTGGCAGGTTTAATCCCGAGGTTTCCATGTGTGCTGCATCCAGGGCTGTTTCCCCATGGAGAGGTTTCTCCTCACCCGCAGCATGTGGAGGGAGCACTGCCCCGGGCGTTGCTTCCCAAGCCTGCCCATCCCTTTGGGCTCTGTGTCCTAGCACACAACCTCAGCGCGGCATAAACCCATTCCCAAGCAGCCACCAGCAGCCTGGGATCTGCCGGGCCCCTGAGATTCCCGGGATTCAATCGCAGCACCTGGAATTTGCAGGGACCATCGGGATGCAGGAACTCGATCCAGCCCCTCCTCAGCAGAGGCTAGGCACCTCCGGCTGCTGCTGCTTCCCTGCTCCCAGGAGAAGTCTCCTTATCCCTTGGAATGGATCCCTTGGAATGGATCCCTTGGAATCCCCGCGGCTCTGGCTGGATCCAGAGTGCTGGGATCATGGCAGTGGGAGCCGAGCCCGCGCCTCTGCCCCAGTGAAGGGAATAGACCCTGCTCCAGGGCCGCTGGTGGTGGCTGTTGGAGGCGCAGGGACGTGTGGGGGTGTTCCGGGTGTCATCGCGGCTCCAGCCAGGATCAAGTTGGGAATTGCCAAGGTTCCGGTTGGGATCGAGCTGGGACTTGCCCTGGGCGCAGCCGGGATCAAACCGGGGATCACCGGAGTTTGGCATCACTGTGGGACCAAAGCCCCCATGGCAGGACACACGGCCCATCAGGTTCCGGGTGCTCGCCGGTGCTGTGCAGGAGCTGGGGCTGCTCCGGCCTTCATCCCGCCGAGGAAGAGCTGGGTGCGGACCTGCCGCTCCCCGCCGCCAGCCCACCCGCGCTAGGACCCGGCGGCGCCGCCGAGCGATGGGCGTGGCCTGGGGGCGTGGCCTCGCGCGCCTCCCTTCCCACAGTCCCGTTCTCCGCTTGCCCCTCCCCTTTGCCCACTCTCCCGTACCCCATTGGCCCGTCCTCCCCCGCGGGCCCTCCCACTTAGCGCTCATTGGCTGCCGCTCCCGTTGCCAGGAGACGCTCCCCCCCCCTTTCCGGTCCCCGTTCCAAGATGGCGGCCGCGGAGGAGGCCGAGGCGGCCACGGCGCTGGCGGCGCTGCTGGGCCCGGCCGCGGGTGCTGCGGCCCGGGCGGGGGCGGCCGAGGCGGCGCTGTCGCTGTCGGGCTCCGCGGCGGGGCGGCGGCTGCTGGCGGGGCAGCCCCGGCTGCTGGAGGCGCTGCTGGCGCTGGCGGCGGGGCCCGGCGCGGAGCCCGCCCGCTCGGCGCGGCGCTGCCTGCTCAACGTGTCCGCCGAGGCGGCGGCCCGCGGGGCGCTGCTGCCGGCGCTGCCCGCGCTGGTGCCGCTGGTGCCGGCCGGGCCGGTGTGCGGGCTCCTGGCCAACCTGAGCCGGGAGCGCGGCGGGGCGCGGGCCGTGCTGCGGGCGCTCGGCTCCCGCTGGGACGCGCTGCTGGAGGCGCTGGCGCAGCCGCGGCCGCCGCCGGAGCTGGGGCCGCTGCTCTGCAACCTCAGCCAGGTCCCCGAGGGGCGCCGCCGGCTCCTGGACCGCTCCCGGTAGGGCCGCGGGCGGGCACGGCTGGGGGGGGGGGGGACCCGGGGTGGTGTCCGCGGCCCGCTCTGACCGGCCCGGCCCGCAGGTGCGCGGTGCAGCGGCTCCTGCCCTTCACGCAGTACCCGCACTCCGCCGAGCACCGCCGCGGCATCGTGGGCGCGCTCCGCAACTGCTGCTTCGAGCACGGTGAGAGCCGGAACCGGGGAGCACGGGGCGGCTGCCGGCCCCCCTGCCCTCCCCTCCGGGTGCTGCCGGGCCCCCCTGCCCTCACCTCGGGGTGCTCCCGGGCTCTCTCATCCTCACCTGGGACCCCTGCCCTCCCCCAGGGTGTCCTGCCCTTATCCTGGAGCCCTGCTGGGGTCCCTGCCCTCACCCTGCCGCTCACCCGAGCCCCCTGCCCTCACCCTGGCGCTCACCCGAGCCCCCCTGCCCTCACCCTGCCGCTCACCCGAGCCCCCCTGCCCTCACCCTGGGGCCGTGCCGGTTCCTGCTGCCCCCACCCCGGCGGCCTTTGTGGGGCCATGGCCGTGGAGGAGCCGCCTCATCCCCCCCCACCCCCGGAGCGATGTCCCCCCCTTGGAGCGCCCAGCCAGGGCCTGGTGCTGAGGGGGAGCCCGGGCAGGAGCGCGGCCGTGGTGGCTGCCCTGACCCTGCCGTCCCCAGAGCACCACGAGTGGCTGCTGAGCGAGGCCGTGGACATCCTGCCCTTCCTGCTGCTGCCCCTGGCCGGGCCCGAGGACCTCCCGGAGCACGACATGGAGCGTAAGGGGGCTGGGGGAGCGGAAAGGGGGTGCTGGGGGAGCGGAAAGGGGGTGCTGGGGGAGCGGAAAGGGGGTGCTGGGGGAGCGGAAAGGGGGTGCTGGGGGAGCGGAAAGGGGCGCTGGGGGGGTCCCGGTGTCACCCGATGAGGGCGCCTGTCCCCAGGGCTGCCCCCGGACCTGCAGTACCTGCCCCAGGACAAGCAGCGGGAGGAGGAGCCCGACATTAGGAGGATGCTGCTGGAAGCCGTCATGTTGGTGGGTTCCTCTGGGCTGGGGCCAAGGGGGAAGGTGCTGCGGGGAGGTGATGGGTGCTCATGGGAGGTGATGGGTGCTCATGGGGGGTGATGGATCCTCACGGGGAGGTGATGGATCCTCGTGGGGGGTGATGGATCCCCATGGGAGGTGATGGATCCCCATGGGAGGTGATGGATCCCCATGGGAGGTGATGGATCCTCGTGGGGAGGTGATGGATCCTCGTGGGGAGGTGATGGATCCCCATGGGAGGTGATGGGTGCTCATGGGAGGTGATGGATCCCCATGGGGAGGTGATGGATCCCCATGGGGAGGTGATGGATCCTCATGGGAGGTGATGGATCCTCATGGGAGGTGATGGATCCCCAAGGGAGGTGATGGATCCCCAAGGGAGGTGATGGATCCCCAAGGGAGGTGATGGATCCTCATGGGGAGGTGATGGATCCTCATGGGGAGGTGATGGATCCCCATGGGAGGTGATGGATCCTCACGGGGAGGTGATGGATCCCCATGGGAGGTGATGGATCCTCATGGGGGGTGATGGATCCTCACGGGGAGGTGATGGATCCTCATGGGAGGTGATGGATCCTCATGGGGAGGTGATGGATCCTCATGGGAGGTGATGGATCCTCATGGGAGGTGATGGATCCTCGTGGGGAGGTGATGGATCCTCGTGGGGAGGTGATGGATCCTCGTGGGGAGGTGATGGATCCTCGTGGGGAGGTGATGGATCCCCAAGGGAGGTGATGGATCCCCATGGGAGGTGATGGATCCTCATGGGGGGTGATGGATCCTCATGGGGAGGTGATGGATCCCCATGGGAGGTGATGGGTGCTCATGGGAGGTGATGGATCCCCATGGGGAGGTGATGGATCCTCATGGGAGGTGATGGATCCTCATGGGAGGTGATGGATCCTCACGGGGAGGTGATGGATCCTCATGGGAGGTGATGGATCCCCATGGGAGGTGATGGATCCTCATGGGGAGGTGATGGATCCTCACGGGGAGGTGATGGATCCTCACGGGGAGGTGATGGATCCTCACGGGGAGGTGATGGATCCTCATGGGGAGGTGATGGATCCTCGTGGGAGGTGATGGATCCCCATGGGAGGTGATGGATCCTCGTGGGGAGGTGATGGATCCTCACGGGGAGGTGATGGATCCTCACGGGGAGGTGATGGATCCTCATGGGGAGGTGATGGATCCTCGTGGGAGGTGATGGATCCCCATGGGAGGTGATGGATCCTCATGGGGAGGTGATGGATCCTCATGGGAGGTGATGGATCCTCATGGGGAGGTGATGGATCCCCAGACACAGACACGGTGGGGCAGGGCAGTGCGTGGGGCTGGGTGTGGGGCTGTGAGTGGGGCTGGGTGCGGGGCTGTGAATGGGGCTGGGTGCGGGGGTTCCATCCTGCTCACCCAGCGCTGGTTTCTCCCCCCCCCAGCTGACGGCCACGGGGCCCGGGCGCCGCCGGGTGCGGGCCATGGGCACCTACGTGGTGCTGCGGGAGCTGCACGGCTGGGAGCGGCACCCCGGGGTGCGGGCGGCCTGCGAGCGCCTCCTGCAGGTGAGCGGCGGGACTGCACCCCCGGCGTGGGCCTTCCTCCCGCTCCTCATCCCCGGAGCCTTCCTGCCCCCTGCCCGGAGCCTTCCTGCCCCCTGCCCGGAGCCTTCCTCCTGCTCTGCCACCTGGAGCCTTCCTCTTCCTCACCCCCCTGGAGCCTTCCTCTTCCTCGCCCTCCTGGAGCCTTCCTCTTCCTCACCCCCTCACCCTCCTGGAGCCTTCCTCTTCCTCACCCCCTCACCCTCCTGGAGCCTTCCTCTTCCTCCCCTCCTCACCCTCCTGGAGCCTTCCTCTTCCTCCCCCCCTCACCCTCCTGGAGCCTTCCTCTTCCTCACCCCCTCGCCCTCCTGGAGCCTTCCTCTTCCTCACCCACTCACCCCCCTGGAGCCTTCCTCTTCCTCACCCCCTCTCCCCTGGAGCCTTCCTCTTCCTCACCCCCCTGGAGCCTTCCTCCCCCCCTCACCCTCCTGGAGCCTTCCTCTTCCTCACCCCCTCTCCCCTGGAGCCTTCCTCTTCCTCACCCCTTCACCCTCCTGGAGCCTTCCTCTTCCTCACCCTCCTGGAGCCTTCCTCTTCCTCACTCCCTCACCCTCCTGGAGCCTTCCTCTTCCTCACCCTCCTGGAGCCTTCCTCTTCCTCACCCTCCTGGAGCCTTCCTCTTCCTCACCCCCTCAACCCCCTGGAGCCTTCCTCTTCCTCCCCTCCTCACCCCCCTGGAGCCTTCCTCTTCCTCCCCTCCTCACCCTCCTGGAGCCTTCCTCTTCCTCACCCACTCACCCTCCTGGAGCCTTCCTCTTCCTCACCCACTCACCCCCCCTGGACCCTTCCTCCCCCCCTCACCCTCCTGCAGCCTTCCTCTTCCTCACCCTTCTGGAGCCTTCCTCTTCCTCCCCCCTCACCCTCCCCCTGGAGCCTTCCTCTTCCTCACCCTTCTGGAGCCTTCCTCTTCCTCACCCTTCTGGAGCCTTCCTCTTCCTCACCCTCCTGGAGCCTTCCTCTTCCTCCCCCCTCACCCTCCCCCTGGAGCCTTCCTCTTCCTCACCCTCCTGCAGCCTTCCTCTTCCTCACCCTTCTGGAGCCTTCCTCTTCCTCACCCTCCTGGAGCCTTCCTCGCCCTTCCTGAGCCTTCCTCCTCCTCTGTTCCATAGGTGCTGATCGGGGACGAGCCGCCCCCGGGCATGGAGAACCTGCTCGAGGTGAACGTCCCGGAGGAGGTGGAGCAGCAGCTCCAGCGCCTGGACCGGGAGGAAGAGGAGCAGCGGTGGTGGGAGGAGGACCGGGAGCAGGAGTGGGACCGGGAGCGGGACCGGGAGCCACAAGGGTCCCCCCGGTGACACTGGGTCACCCTCAGCATCCCTTGGGGTGACAACGTGGGGACCCCTCTTTGGGCTCCTGCAGGGCAGGGCCCCCCCTTTGCCCCCTCTGATGGGGTGAGGCTGCAGTGGGGGTCAGGAAGGGGCTGGTGCCCCCTGCCCAGCGCTGTGGGGCTGGGCCCCCACATCTGGACCCACACAACGTGCCTTGAGGAATAAAAGGTTTCCAGCCCCAGCCCACCGTGAAGCCCCTTGTGATGTCCCTCATCCCCCCTCCCTCGCCGCCCCCCAGCAGCCCCATGGCGTCCGGCTGTGCCCCACAGCTCTGGGGGGGACTCCATAGGAGGGAGCTGGGGTCCAAGGAGCACCCGCTGGGGGGGGACAGGACCCTGTGTGCAGGACACCCCATGTGGGATGGGGTCCCCCTGGTGAGCGCTGTTCGCTGGGGTCAGGGGGGAGCGGGCTCCATGTGGGGTGCGGCTCTGTGGGCACCCAGGATGAGCAGTGTGCCCCACATGTGCCCCCCACGTCCACACTGCCCTTGGGGCTCAGCACCCATGATGGGACCCACCTTGGGGCATGCCAAGAGCTGGGGGAAGTGACTCCCTCCCCATATCAGGGTACCCGAGGGGAGATGGGGTGGGGGGTCCCATCTATGGGACACCGCTGGGTGGGGGTCTTGGATGGGGTGCAGTCTGCAGGGCACCCATGGGTGGGGGTCCCCACTATGGGACAGAGCTGGGTGCAAGTCTTGGGTGCCATGGCTGAACCTGGGTTGGGGTCCCTGTGTGTAGGACACCCATGGGTAGCATGTCGTGACCCTTTGGGGGCTCAGTGTTGGGGTCCCCATCTGTGGGACACCGCTGGGTGGGGGTCTTGGATGGGGTGCAGTCTGCAGGGCACCCATGGGTGGGGGTCCCCACTATGGGACAGAGCTGGGTGCAAGTCTTGGGTGCCATGGCTGAACCTGGGTTGGGGTCCCTGTGTGTAGGACACCCACGGGTAGCATGTCGTGACCCTTTGGGGGCTCAGTGTTGGGGTCCCCATCTATGGGACACCGCTGGGTGGGGGTCTTGGATGGGGTGCAGTCTGCAGGGCACCCATGGGTGGGGGTCCCCACTATGGGACAGAGCTGGGTGCAAGTCTTGGGTGCCATGGCTGAACCTGGGTGGGGGTCCCTGTGTGTAGGACACCCACGGGTAGCATGTCGTGACCCTTTGGGGGCTCAGTGTTGGGGTCCCCATCTATGGGACACCGCTGCGTGGGGTCTTCACGGGGCTGGGGACCCCCATTTGCATGATGTGGGTCTTTTGTCGACGGGGCTCAGTACCTTGGATAAGGGTTCCCCATTGTGTGACAGCCATGGGATGGGGGTCAGGGCTGTCTGGGGGGGTCCCCTTGATGGGTATGGAAGGGCCTTTTTGGGGGTCCCTATTGTGGGGCCCCCCCCTATAACCCCGCAGTCCCCAATGGGTGCAATGCCGTTCAGGCCCGCTAGGGAGCGCTGGTGGCGCGGTCCCCGCGCCACCAGCGCTCCCTAGCGGACCTGAACGGCATTACACCCGTGCGCAGTGGGCGTGGCTACGTAAAGGGGCGTGGCCAGCGCACCCCGGAAGCCCCGTCGAGCACCGAGCGGTGAGTGCGGGTCCCGGTGTTGCGGTGGTGGTGGTGGGGGGGAAACGGGAGGGTCCATTTGTGGGGTGCGTTAAACCCCTATGGGGTTGGGGTTGGGGGGGGCAAGGCCAACCCCGGTGCTGCCGCCCCATAACCGGAGCTACCGGTGACCCATAGTGTGGGGGGGGGGGCGAGGCTGCTGCATCCTTGTCCCGGTTCGATGCCTCCCCCCCCTCCGGTTTGGGGCTCTCGCGGTGTCCCGGTGTGGGGTGAAGATGAATGCGTGTTAATGGGGCACACACACCCCCCCCCCCCCGTATTTACCACATGGAGGGGGGGGATTGGGGTCATGGGTCCGTTAATCCCGGTGGGAACGCGATGGGCATGGTTGGAAGGGGAAGGAAACGTGCTTGGGCAAGGTCAACCCCTTGGTCACCCACTTGGCCACCCCTTTGGCCACCCCTTTGGCCACCCTCTTGGCCCCCCCTTTGGCCGTCCCCTTGGCCAACCTCCTTGACCACCCCTTTGGCCACCCTCTTGGCCACCCCTTTGGCCACCCCTTTGGCCAACCTCCTGTCCAACCTCCTTGACCCCTTTGGCCATCCCCTTGGCCGTCCCCTTGGCCAACCTCCTTGGCCACCCCTTTGGCCATCCCCTTGACCACCTCTTTGGCCAACCTCTTGGCCACCATCCTTGACCGCCTCTTTGGCCAATCTCTTGGCCACCCTCTTGACCACCTCCTTCTCCACCCCTTTGGCCATGCTCTTGACCAACCTCTTGGCCAACCTCTTAACCATCCCCTTGGCCATCCCCTTGGCCAACCCCTTGTCCAGCTTCTTATCCAGCCCCTTGGCCCCCCCTTGACCAAGCTCTTGGCCATCCTTTTAACTAACCTCTTGGGCAACCCCTTTGTCAAGCTCTTGGCCATCCTCTTAACTAACCCCTTGGGCAACCCCTTTGTCAAGCTCTTGGCCATCCTCTTAACTAACCCCTTGGGCAACCTCTTGGCCACCCTTTTGCCACCCCCTTGACCAAGCTCTTGGCCAACCCCTTAACTATCCCCTTGGCCACCCCTTTGGCCACCCCCTTGACCAACATCTTGCCCACTTTGGGCCCAGCTGCCCGCGCTGGTGAGGGCCCCATAGGCAGAGCTGGGCTTGGGTCAGTGGGGAACCTCTTCAGTGCCCTCTCCCAAACCTTCCTTCACCAAACACCTGCCTGGGCTGGAGCTGGGGGGCGATGGGGGCTGAGCCGGGTGATGGGGGCTGAGCTGGGGGGCGATGGGGGCTGAGCCGGGTGATGGGGGCTGAGCTGGGTGATGGGGGCTGAGCTGGGCGATGGGGGCTGAGCTGGGTGATGGGGGCTGAGCTGGGTGATGGGGGCTGAGCCGGGTGATGGGGACTGAGCCGGATGATGGGGGCTGAGCTGGGGGGCGATGGGGGCTGAGCTGGGTGATGGGGGCTGAGCTGGGTCCTGTCCTCATGGGTGCTGGGAACTTCTCCTCCTCCCGTTTCCTCATGGGTTTGGAGACAACCATTGGGTGGGACCCCCAGCTCTTGCATTGTGAGGGGCTCAGTGATGGGGCCATCGCCCCCCATGGCCATCACCCCCCCATGGCCATTACCCCCCCATGGCCATTACCCCCCCATGGCCATCGCCCCCCATGGCCATCACCCCCCCATGGCCATTACCCCCCCATGGCCATTACCCCCCCATGGCCATCGCCCCCCATGGCCATCACCCCCCATGGCCATCACCCCCCATGGCCATCACCCCCCCATATGGCCATCACCCCCATGGCCATCACCCCCATGCTCAGCACCCCCATGGCCATCACCCCCCATGCTCAGCACCCCCATGGCCATCACCCCCCATGGCCATCACCCCCCATGGCCATCACCCCCCATGGCCATCACCCCCCCATGCTCAGCACCCCCTATGGCCATCACCCCCCATGGCCATCACCCCCCATGCTCAGCCCCCCCATGGCCATCACCCCCCATGCTCAGCACCCCCCATGGCCATCGCCCTGCGCTGGGTCCCGTTGCTGCCGTTGGGGTGCGCACCCCCCCCCCCCCCCCCCCCCCCGGTGCGATCCCCCCCGGTTCTCCTCATGGGATCCTCCCCCCTCGTGCAGGCTCCGGGCCCCACGCACCGGGAAGCGGCTCCCCCCGTCCCTAGGGCCGGGCCCGGATGGGAGCTCCGCTGCCCGCCCGCCTCGGGGACCCGGAGCCGTGGGGCTGCTCCTGCCCCTGCTGCTTCTCCCGAGCGCGGCGCGGCACCCGCTGAAGATAGGGACCCCCGGGATCCATCCCCACGGAGCCCCGCTGCTGCTGGGGACCCTGCGCACGCGGAGCATGATGGAGTCGCGCATCAGGCGTGAGTGCCGGGGGCTTGGGGGGCAGCCGGAGCCTGGCGATGGGAGCCGGGAGCCGTTTTGCCCCGGGGGTCGCAGCCTGGATCCCCCGCGGATGCTCCGCTGGAGCTCGTTTTAATCAGGGAACATTTGGGTGGTTTAATGAAGCCAGGGCAAGGGGCCGGGGGTCCCCTGGCGCCGCCTCACGTGGGTGCCAACGTGGCTGTGGCGGAGCAACTCCGCAGCCCCACGTGGAAAACGATGCCCCCCGATCCACATCCCATCCCATTGCCACCTCCGGCCGCCCGGAGCCATTCCCCTCATCCCGTCCCTGCCTCCCGTGTCCCAAAGTCCCTCTCCCGGCTTCCTGCGGCCCCTCCGGGCACCGGAGCTGCTGGAGGGTCCAGCCCAGGAGGAGGCAGCGCCAAGAAGGGCTCCAAAAGGATTCTGGAGCGGCCGTTAGGGACTGCCCTGGGTGCAGCAGGGAGTTAACTGGAGCTGGAACCTTCCTCCTTGCCTGGCTTTAACTGGGTTGGAGCCTTGAGCTGCTGCGAGGGCTGGAGCGGCTCTGCCCTGGAAGGGAAGGCTCCTGAAGGGGAGAGCTGAGAGCAGCTCCAGTGCCTGAAGGGGCTGCAGGGAGCCTTGGGACAAGGGAGGCAGGGATGGGAGGAGGAGGAAGAGGGAAGAGTTGATGGGAGCTTGGGGAGTTCTTCCCCATGGAAGGGGTTGAAGGGAGAGGTTTGGGATGCTCCATCCCTGGCAGTGCTCAAGGGCAGGGTGGACACAGGGGCTCGGAGCACCCTGCTCCAGGGGAAGGGGTCCCTGCCCATGGCAGTGGCTGGAATTGGATCAGCTTTAAGGTCCCTTCCTCCCACCCCATTCCGTGGTTCCTCGATGGTGTCTGTTCACCCTCAGAGAGCTTCATCCAGTGCTGGGGCCCACCCGATGGCCATGGGGCTCCTCCAGCCCCTCCAGGCCATGCCCGTGGTGGGTCTCCTGCTGCGTCAGCCCTCCTGAACCGGTGCCAGCCCTGCTCGGAGCCCTCAGTGGG